ACGTCGGGCGATAATAAAGCTTTAGCGTTGTAATGGAAACAATAATAAATAACTATTATTTCATTAGGGAGACTTTTATGAAGAGAAAATGACCTATTTCGTCTTTTCTTCCTACTTAATTAACACATAACTTCGCTAGCAATGTGTTGCTCTATCAAACACAATGGCAAATTAGGGGTAAGAGAAATGAGTAACTCCGACGAAAGATTTGTGGTTGCCTCTGCCACAATATGGGCATAGAGCCAGAAAACTTCTATTAAACAGATGTGACGTCTTGACCCACTGTTCCTGACATTGCGACAAGTGTTGCTGTTTTAACTGATACATCATCGTGCAATGTAGTCGGCTTTACCTGACCTCTGACATTTTCCAATTTAACCGATACTCTTACTTTTCTACTATCGAATTTCAACTAATACACGTCTGTACAAGTATACCCGCCATCATTTTTTAAACATTCAAACTGGCGCCGTTTAAAAACAAAAATTAAGGAAGGTTATAAATCTTTTTAAAATAAATAAATAAATAAATATATTTTTCTGCATTCGCATCTAAATATAAATCTCAACCTGTATACATTCGCGTACAAGAATAGAAAATATAAAACATTAGTAGTAACAATACTCGTAACAAGAGACTGTTGTGTGTAAATAGAGAATGACGCATCTAACTAGGCCAAACTGCACGTTGTAGGTAGGATTTCCAGATAGAATTAAGTGTGTAACAGTCCATAGTGTAGGCATTAGTAAAGCTAGCATGACAAGAATTTACAACCGGAGACTAAGGGTCTGTTGACATTGCCGTTAGTCGAGTGGGTCCCGTGAATTTACGAGTACAAACCTCCATTACTCGGTTCCTCTAACGGTTATTATTTATCTAGTTACAGTGGAGTATTTATCAGAAGTGGATAACTTCATCCACGGACCGCATTGACGATCACATACCAAGATCGTTACACCAGCTTCTGTCATTGTCCGAGCAATAAAAGACGGTAAACATATTTACGACCCACCAAAAATCTTGCAACACGCAAACGAAACAATTTAGTAATTGGAAATTTTCGGACTCGGATCGATTCCTATATATAAATATATATAGTGATTCGGTAAGGGTTGATCTGTGACTGTCTTAACTTAGGTAATTTCTGCAGTGGAGAGGAAACGTTCGTTATTTATGACCAATTCGGTGATCCCGAAAGGACTCTCCAATCACTTCTGACGATTGATTCCTCGTAAATAGCAACAAATAAGAGGAGATTTAACTTTAACGATTTTCTCTCTCCACTCGAATTTTTACGCCCCACAAATTCAAAATTTAAATTATACAAATAAGACTACTTAGCAATCACAAAAAATATTGAAAAATAAATGCATTCACAATAGTGAAAATTTCATTATTTTACACAAAGAATATATTCTTTTCATCATGTCTATTGACTTTTTTAAATCTAAATCAATATTATTACATTGACAAAGATATTTTATATCTTTTCTATATCAAGAATCATATCAGTTTATTCAGAATTATTTTTAATTTTCTTGCAGTTATTTATTCAAATTTTTATTAAAATCATAATTTTTTGTTTTTTTTATTATTATTTATATACCTAATATAAAATTTACATTTTATTTCCACAATCAGTTTTCATAAATTCAAATAATTTACCTCAAATTATAATCAAATTTTTTCAAATGCAAAACTTTCACACTTAATTACTTCTACTGATCTCTACCAAATTGTTACTTATGTATACTAACTCCATAGCACAATCAACAAAACCTTTAGCATTACTGGATGCTAAATCCAGTAATGAAATTTAATGTAAAACTTGACAAATATTTTCAATCTTACACAAGATCTGTATCAGGTCAATGTTATATTCCAAATTGTAATGCTCAGAACATGTTTTTAAATAATTATAATGTAAAATATAGAATGTAATGATGTAAATCAAATATAAATACACAAAATCAATGATATTTAAAAAATTCCAGACCTCCAAAATGCCAAATTAATTAAAAATCCTTTCAAACTGACCACATCAGGACATTAGAAATATACAAGGTCTGCCTAAATGGCAATTGTATTAATTTTAAAGATAGAAAAAGCATCTTGTATGTATGACAATGCCATTATGAAAAACCAGGAAATATCGATATAAATTAATACAGTAGAACCTCGATTATCCGGACTAATTGGGGATGAAGGTAGTCCGGATAAGGGAAAATCCGGATAATCGAAANTTTACACTTTTCTCTAAAATAAAATATCATTGAAATAATTTAAAATAATTATAGAAAAATTGAAAAGTATATATATTTTTTTATATTTATTTATTTATTTATTTTTTCTTTTTGCTTCTCTTCGCTGTAAAGGTGGAGAAGGGGGTTAACTTTAACCTCGATTAATACGCGAGGAATGCGATTAGAAGGGGTCCGAGCTCGTTCAAAATTAAAGGAAGAATGGGAAAAGTTACACGACGTAAGAATACCAACAGCCGATGATTGATTGCGTTGAGAATTATACAAGAAACTCCATAAGTGTCACTAAAAATTTGCTGCAATTAGGCATAAAGTGAAAAAAAGGGGATGAAAAACCGCTAAAAATTCCTTTCTCTTTTGACGATGACGAATTGGCGTTAATAGCCGGCTGTCTTTCATTATTTCTTCTTTAGGGGATGCACGACTTCTTACAGTGCCTTGTCTCGTTCCATTACCTTCTTTTGATTAACGATCAGAACACGCTCGGTTGGATTCGGTTCTTAAGGTGTACCGCAACCACTTCGGATAACCGAACAAATTAATAGGCGACATCACCAGATCAAGAGGGATTCGCAAAGATTTTTTCTCCGACATCCTTCTCCTCCTCCTCTTCCTCCTTCGCATCCCTTTTCCTCCGTCCACTCGGAAGAAACGAAAACGTTTCAAACCGTTTTTCTCACATATTTCTTTGCTTCTCCGATCGTACTACCCCCGCGGAACCGAAATTAAAATGTAGACAAAGGTTTGCCGGCTCGACCCCCCCCCGGTTCGGCCTTGCATACGGAAAGATAAAACACATTAGGAAAGTTTTATGTTCTCGACAACGGAGCAGACGTGCCTGTAAAACGAATGATTTATGGACAGACATAAAAGCTCGGGCTACCTGCTGGCTTGGGTGAAAGGTTTTCTCTCGGCCTCCCCCCTCCACTAGCACCCCTCTCTGCCGACGAATTCCCACACACGCTTTCTTGCCAGTCCAGATCGTAATCTAATAAAAAGCCTTTCACGGTAAATGTGTTTCTCTGCCTCCTCGCAATTAATTGTACGTAATTCGATTGCAGAGAAGAGAAAGCTATATCGTTCGACTTCTAGGCTCGAGTCTCATCATCTAACTTTGCCTATGAAAAATGGCTCTTTCTGTCGGCCCGGCTTCCTGCGGAGAAGGACGATCCTCGCTTCCCCTCCTCCTCCATCCCCCGACACAGAAAAGCGCACACTCGCCGATTTGTCGAATTTAAAATCACTAGACTCCTACAGTTAACATCAATCGCCTCTGTGGCCATAAACGATTCGACATTTTTTTTGTCGCTTCCCCCCTCATCGGTATATATACATATAATAATCGTTGGGGTAGGTGTCTATCTTTCTGGCAAGCTAACGACTCCAAGGTCTGTCGGATGCGAGTCGAACAATGAGACTGTCGAGTATGTAATGAAAACAAGTCTGGAAGGCGTGCGGTGTTAAAGACAAAGATATTTTTAACGGTCTGTCGCTCTGCTCTCTTGCATAGAATGGAAATTATTCAATGGAGGTGCGAGATGACTGTCACCGTTTAAAGTTTGTGGATTTTGCTTCTTCTTTTTCTCTCCACACACCCCCTTTCTCGCTCCTCTTGTTTTTAGCTCGCCCGGAGTTTTACAACGGTCTATAGTTACTCGGACACGTGTTTGGGTTAATGATGTTAACCTAGGCTATTGTTTAAGTTTTTATGTCCTTTTCTCTTTCTCTCTCTTCTCCCGTCCGATTCATTTGTATGTAACTCGTTTCTTCTTTCGTTAAAGATATAACAAATTGAATTGTCTAATTTGATTTTATCGCCTTTGTTTATAAAAAACGGATATTTTTAAGTGTCTGGTGGGATTTGTTTTCGTTTAACATCCTCCTCTCTTACGAATATAACGTGCTAATCGTGACACTCTCTTCTGTAGAAATATTATTAATTAATATTATTTTTATAAGTGGAGGGAGGTTTGTTTGAGTGCTTGTGTATCAATTTTTTTAAAAGAAAGGTGCTCTTAGATGGAGTATTCCTTTGATGTAAATAGGGAAAGTCTAGATAAGAACGGTTCTGTTGCAGCTGCTAAGATACGCTCCAACACACCATACACTTGGGAATTGGAGCAACTCCGATCTGGTTTGGAAATTTAGCTTCGGTTATTGTTTTCTAACTTGTTCCGTTCAAGCATCATTTAGCTTCCTGTACGGCACATTAAGCTCGCTGGCAGAACTCTTCGCTAGAATGTCCCTTAAGCTAGCAAGCGTCACGAAAAGCAACGTGACGTGACGCTAAGACTACCCCGTTTTTAATTTGTTCAACTTCAAGAAACGGAAGAGAATAATTAAGTCAATCTCTTTGCTATTGTTTGTTCCTGTAAAGGCGCTCAAGCATTATTTTATTTTAAGTTTTGCAAACTTCTGCACAAGATAAGAGAGATATTTGATAAATTTAATCGCCTTTGTTCATTTCGGCGTGTAGTTTTCTCTATTGTACTTTTTAAAATATTATTTTTAATTGGATACGCACCCGTGAAATTGTTGGAAAATTTTAAAAGACGATTTTAATATCTTCTCCATTATTAAAGATGGAGGTTTGGGGGTATCCCAAACTGTTTTTCTCCTAAAAACCATGCTAATAAATTGATTGATTTTGAAGGTTAAATCGTAATTTTTTCTCGCAGTCGAGTTACAAATGTCGACGTATCGATCATAGTTAATAAAGTTGTTTCTTCTTTCTTGCAGTCGAGTTGGAAGTCATGCCAGAAGATACGGAAACAGATCAGGCGGAGAACGGCGGAACGAATTCCAGGGTTTCCTCGTCTCCTTCCTCCCCAGTAACGCCGACCAGCCCCGAAATAGAAGTGACCGATTCCTCCTCCCTTCCCTCTGTGAAGAACGGGTGTCCGGAAGTGACAAACGGACACGTGGCCAAAACGGAAACGACGAGGAGTCATGTGACTAACGGTGTGAAAGCGGAAGCGGACAAGATCCGAGAGTACATGGAGAGGACCGACACGGTGGTCATCTTCCCCGAGCCAGCTCCACCAGGGGGAGCCACGACTTCCGGTAAGTCGTTCGCGTCGTCCATCGATGCGAGACACCCCTCCGTCTGAATCACGCGTCAGTAGAGCGTGATGTTTCTTCGGTGTGGTTTCTGTGGCCGGATCGCTACAAAACCGACCTCTTTTATTTTACGTTCCTCCGTTTTTCCTTCCCTCTCCATCCCCAAAACACCCACACAAAAGAAATTAATACATTTTCTACATTTTACAAAATTTACGGCTTCATTTTTATTTTCTTTACACAAGAATATCCGGCGAAAAAAATCGAACACACTAAAAACAGACGTGTAATAACACGGACACGACACTGCCCCGGGGATATCGAGGGGGGAATGTTTTCGTAGCACATTTAAAACAACAGCCACGTCTGACCTAAGGCTCGTATGCGTTTCCATCTCGTTTCTGCCAACGTCAAAGAGAAGGGGACCACAGATATCGTCTGGATAAATCGGGTGTAGTCGACCGTACCTTAGTATTTAATGTTCAGATAGATAGACTGTTGGATAGCAGTTTATATCCTTGGGTATCGTTACGGATAGAAGCGAATGGATGTGGTATTGCATCGAACAGATGACTTAATCCCTATCTCACATGCTGGCCTACGTGCCAATAGTGAGAAGACGGCGCCAGCAATTGTTGGCCCGCCAGAATCGACGCCGCTGGGGCGCTTGGCTAAAGGAACTGCAACCATCCACCCATACCATAGTCTGTGGATCGAGTGGAGAATCCAAATGACGTGAAACAATTCCATTTATGACCTCCGACGGTTATAAATAAATATGTCCCGTTTTACACATGCACTCGTGTTTACACTGTGTGTAATACGTCGGATTGGGTGCCACTGTCGGGGGACGAAATTCTTCCCCGTCCCCCCGCGTTGTTAACGGAGATGCTTCGTTACGATTTGCGGCTCGAAAAACCATTTCGTTGATGAGGATCTTAACCTAATTCGTCAGTCGAGTGGTTAAAACTTCTTAAAGGAATCTCCTAACTTTAATGGCGGCGTATCTTATGAATTTAGAATTCTCGAAACTCTCCGTCTCTTTCTCCCCCCCTATTAACGTCCGTCTTTCTGCATATGCAAATATGGCATTTGGCCAAACGCGAACTGATCTTACGTCAAAGAAATCTAAGAACGTACAACCTTCCTAGTCCGTTATTCTAAATTAATTATCCATATAGTTGTCGACAGACCCAATAGTTACTTTAGAAACGCGCTAACTATTGGATCTCTCGACCACTACATCGATAATTAATGTTGAATAAGAGATTTTAATGCAACTACCAAAAATGAACCAACTTAATATGCCTTTTTTTTTCCTTATTTGTTGTTATTTTTGACTTTCGAATTATTTCGGTAATCAATTTTGTCGTATCATTTGCCATATTCTTAATGTTTTAAGATGAAAGATGATATTTACAATTGTCATTCCATTGCTCCGACTTCTGGATATATCGAAACATTTGGATCTTCTACCATTGTAGGACACAGTTCTTAGTACACCGGAATAACAAGAAATCAAACTAAGTATACTTCTGAACATATTTGGTTACGGTTACGTCTAATATTTCATATTTAACTCCAGCAATTATACAAGAAAATTAAGGATTTAGAAAAACGCGAAGATATTTTTTAAGTAGCCAACATTGAAGTACAATAAAATGTAAAGTTTTATTACAAACGACAAATTGCATTGCTTAAATTAACTTCATTCTTCAAATCGACGTTTTCTTCTCATACTCGAACGAAGAGAAAGAGGGAGAGAAAGAGAGAGAGAGAGAGAGAGAGAGAGTAGCTTTTAGTCAACTTCTAGACACTATAAGGATAGGATTAATTGAAGATGATTGCAATATTATACACGATGTCATCGTAAACCATCGTGTTTATGGCTGTCACTCGCTACGTTGTTTGCCGTAACAGATGATAACGTTAAGACTCTTATAATCTTGTTGTTCTAAATGGTATTTTATCTGAAATTTATAGTTGTCGACAAACTGGTAGTTTCTTAATAAGATGTCGCAGGAAAGATTTGACTGTGCATATAAACTAATAGAACATCCCTCCACCACTTTATAAATGAATATTAATGATTATTATTCGTAAGTACGACAAAGCTTACTATTCAAAAAATATTTTTTCCACCCCCGCGTACAAAAATGCGCTTTGTATAAAGTGTATCTGCATCGGGAGCCATCGTAATTAAGGTTTAGGAAAATTTTCTTTTCGGCTAATTTCTAACAAGAATACGATATTATCTGTTACTTAATGTAATCAAGAGATAAGATAATTCATTCAGAAATTATTTTTCTAACAAGATACGCCTATACGTTTATTGGATAATTGAATGAAGTTTTTTTTAACTCCGTTCGCTTATATAAAAAAACTTACAATCCTGTTGACTTTCTAGTAATGATTGATTATATTCGCATCTCTCTGCTCCTCTAAAGATAAACTACCTTCATCAATTTAAAGCGGAATTATGACTGCAGAACCGATCGCCATAGTGCAATAATACATCATTTGATTTGGAACACGGAGCGACAATGACAGTAAAAATTGTTTCGGATGTTTTGCATTTATGATCGGCAGTTTTTGTAAGTTTAAGTGGTTCCAAACTTAAAAAAAAATGTGGACGAAAATTAATTTATCGGTCAGTGGCATCACCAGAAAAAAACTGGAGGAGGAAAATCAAACGATAACCGGTTATGGGGTAGATTCGCTTTTTAGAGACTAGTAAATGCAACAAACAGGAGTTTTTTGCCTTTAAAAAAAGGGGTAAAAAGTACATCCTTTTGTTCCAAGCAACAATTTCTGCTAATGCATTCCATCTCATCATCCTAGGAAAGAAGCTACCCGGACTAAAAACTCCCCTTATCTGTCCTCTTGATTTATTGTGGATATTTAATGGATGACAGAGCTAGGCCGCAGGGCCGGAGATGTCTTCTTTAGCAAAGGTTTCGTCTCGTCCCTCCTTCTGCACAAACTCGTGATGTATAGAGTGACATAAATAACTACGTTTCGCTATAATTGTAATTGTTCTCCGGGAGATGGTATCCGACGATAACAGAAAACTCTTTAGGGGAAATAAAACCAAAAGTAATTAACCAGGAAGACAGTGTTCGTCATTAATTAAAATAATTCACAGGGAAATGACTGATGCTCCGCCAGATAAGAAAGTAATTCCAGAGTTATCTGACCACAGAGATATGAAGTCGGCCTTCGTCTAATGGCCACTTTCGTAATTGAAAAGCAATATCTATTTTCCCTCCGCTTCTTACCCCTCTTTCGAGTCCGGTCCATCAAGGTGACGCCACCTAATCTAACGCTCTTCTTTAAATATGCGCAAAAAATTCCCCGTCCCAATCTCCTCTTGTTTCCATCCTCCGACTTCGGCTCCTGCTTTGTAAATTCTTCCTTCTTTCTTTGTTTATCCAAAGAAATCGACTGCACCAGTCGGATGAGATGCTCCATATTTCAATATGCACTAACAAATATTGTTATTAACTTAACGGCAAGCGTTCTTAATTACATTTCACAACGTTATATCGAAAAATATTTTATTACGACTTAAACGTATTGGATATTTTCAGGATTTTGGGCATGTGGTGCCATGTTTCTATAGCTTTATGGTCAATATTTGATGTTAGCTTAGAGACAAATTCAGCGATACAAGATAAACTGCATCCGCATAATATTGCTGTCAAATTTAACGTAAATCTAAATTTAATTGTACGAATGACGAAAATTTTAGCACATGTTCTAAGCCGAATTTTAAGAATATTTCGGATTTTGCGCCTTAATATCCGATAACATGATATTAAGTTTATGTTACTGCCTGTTGTCGCTCTCGGATGCTGGGCATAAGAGATGTTCGAAATCAGTAGGAGATCCAGTAGTTAAGCCACATTTCCAATATCTAAAGAGGTGTGATGAAGTTGTAAGCCAACTCCCGACATTTAAAGAAGTATGAAGTGCATACTCCCAATATCTGAAACGATATGAAAAGATTGCGAATTCGCAACTTTATCCACAAAGATCATCTAAGTTCCATTCCATTTCTGAGGCATTTCTCCCATTCTGTAATATTTAGTTAGTGACTATTAAAATATACGTATATTTAACCATCGATTTTAAGTTAGTTTTTTTACTTTTATAAATTTTAATTCTAGTCATAGTTTGATTTTTATATCCGTCACGCATTAATCAGTTATACGACTGCGATAAGTTTACGAGGTCGTAAAATTTTCTTTTCTTTTCACCTCTCGTCGTTTACGAAAGGATTTTCACCTTCACAAACTTCATAAAAAAATTATTGTATAAGGTCATATTTACACTTTTCTCTAAAATAAAATATCATTGAAATAATTTAAAATAATTATAGAAAAATTGAAAAGTATATATATTTTTTTATATTTATTTATTTATTCTTCTCTTATAAACGGGGGTTACGAGACGTGAAAGATTTTTATTTTTATCTTTGCTGCTACCAAGGCAACGTCTCGAGGGATGCGTTACCCCAAGAGATGTTTCCCGACGTTGATTGGGACTGCATTTCATAACCACTTCGGGCTAAATTTAGGGATAATCTGGACTACTTTCTGACTAGAATACGTAATCATTCCCCGCAAGGGACAGCGATAGAAATAAGACTAACGTTTGCTTCCCATGGGACGAAGTAACGGTGTGGCAAGGTAGAGAAGGAATATTCTCGTGGGTTTATCGTTTAATTTTTAAACAATCCCACTTCCTAGTCCCGTGATGTTACACATATAACGATCTGTGTTGATTTAGTTTCGCGCCTCGGGGGTCATTTTCGGACAGGTATAGCTATGATATGTTAGAAAAACTCAGTTATCTTATAGCCGCGGGAGATAAAGAAAGGAAATTATTGTTCGCTTCTCTTTTTTTTTTTTTCTCGTTTACACAGTTTAAAAACGTTGAAACGATTTTGTTACGTTGAGAGAAATTATAAATTTATACCGCACTTTATGAAAAATTATAAG